GCCCATGGCCATCTCACAGCATCATATGTTTGATGTTAAACTTGACCTTACCTGTAAGGTTCCCTGTTTCCACATCAACTGCACCAGCAGAGAAGACAACCAAAGCCTGGTGTGTTTGGGCCACAGAATCTCTTCCCACCCCAGCGAAGCCGCCATGCAGGTATAAATAAGCTTTAAGTGGTGCCCAACTTGTTGCTCCAAGGCTGATTTCCATGTGAATATATAGCTGGACAACCCTTGGAGGAGGCCTAAAGCCAACTCATGAGGCACACAATGTAAGCCCAAGAGATGGAGGCTACTGCTGACTCAGTTTACCTTAAATGCAAGATCTCATTCAGGGACCTCCTGTCCTTTCTAGTCAATTGAGAAAGAGTCTCTCTCTCTCTCTCTCTCTCTCTCTGTAATTCACGCTTATCTGCTGGACAGCTCATGTTACCACTATAAACGACTTCCGGAACAGGAGGCTTAATTTTTAAATGGGCATTTTAAACTTATCTCGCATAGCCGAACAAGCACTTTTATTATTTAGAAAAAAGGGTCCCTAGTGAGAGACCTTGGAGCCAGGAAGATAGAGTTACTTCTCAGAAAGCTGGGGCTTGTGACTCGTCTTATCCAGAGGCTCCAAACCTCCCTTTCTCCCCCTTACAATAGATGCGGGTCGCAGTGCTGGTCCACAGAAGGGCCTTAGGAGCCTCAGATGAAAGAAGCCACGCCAGGGCGCCGCGCTGCGTGGAGGGTGATTCAGCACCGGCCCTGTCATGCCTGCTGCCCAGGCTGAACGGGTTTTTGGAGTACACCTGTTGTTGAACCCCTGCCAAGTACTGATGGCCACTAACCCCCAAATCACTTTTCCCCGCTGTTGATGTTTGGAATGTCAGACAGGACTGAGCAGCAGCCGGCATGTATTTCAAACACAGCAGATGGATTTTTATATTAGCTCCTATTTCATGTTCAGGCAGAGCGACCGCCACACTAAAACCGCAGCCTCAATGCTGCCGAGTTGCTTCTGTGAGATTAATTCTGCGAAATTAATTGGGACAAGATTGAAAAGGAAATTAAAATGCAGCTCAGTGAACAGGCCTTTCAAACACCTTTTTCCTGCTCTATTCAAACTTGAATTCTGCGGTGGTCGCAGGCATCGTGGGAAGTAATTTACGAGAGAGGCAGGCTCTCAGGAGCCATCGGTTACGTATGAGGAGCCCTGCACAAGCGCCACAATCTGGCGCCACTGAAGAGCGCTAAACACCCCGCTGTGGCCTGAGCTGCGTCCCCCCGCACCGCACCGGGGCGGAAGTGGAGCTCAGTTCCTGCACCAGATAAAGCTGTTCAGAAATAATCTGCGCCCAAAAGGAATGCGGGAACATCAACGTCTCCTGGGTGCACAGATCTGCTTCGTTATTAAAATCTCCCTTTAATATATTTTAAGACCCAAATTGGAACTCTGTGAATGAAGTGGGCATGAAACGGCATGGGGCCGAGGAATGTATGGACGTGGGGGGGGTGGGGTCAGCGGGAGTCCCGCTGACTGTGCCATTGGTCACTGTTTCGGAGCTTGGATACATGGCTCTGGCCTCTCTTCAAAGGAGAAGTTTGAGCAATCCATCTGTTTTGTCGGTGATGAAATCTCTCCGACCAGGAAAGGCATGGTAGATTTTCATGTAGGCCTCTTCACTTTTGTCTATTTCTAAGTGAGAATCTTTTGAGCATCTCTATGAAGAGGTCTTGGCAGGACAGACTACCTTTTTTTCTCTCTCAACTCACCAACAATTTATTGAACTGTGCTAGTATGTACCCAATATTGACCCAAAGAGTTTGTTAGTGGAAAAGAGGGGAATATAATAATAGTTACCATTTCCTTCTTTACACAAATTCTCTAATGTAGGCATCACAACACCCTATGGATAGAAATTAGCCCAATTTTTACAGATGAGGAGACTGAGGATTAGCAAGATTAAGTGGCTTTGCACAGGGTCTCATAAATAACCCATCTGTTACCAACTTGCTTTCCTAAGAAGAGGACAGGTGATGAGCATTTGGTTACCTACGGGGTACATCTTTCTTGCGCAGCTACTCATCCTATTTGGAAACAAAATTAAAAAAAAAAAAAGATAAATAGCTCTCATTTGGGGATGTTTCCTGCCCAAAGACCCTAGGCCCTAACAGAGACCCCTGGGCCTGGGATTCTAGAACTCAAGGTTGGATCATACTTGGGCAACTACTCAGAAACAGCAGGGGGCAGCAGGAGCCCAAGAATAAAGCTATTAACTCCCCACTCTCACTCCACTCTCCCACCCAGCATCCATTCGGTATTATCTGCACCTGCCCTTCCCCACCCCCCCATTTCAAAATATGTCTTTTATCATACGATGAGAGAAGAGGAAATCAGATGCATTTATGAGGGTCAAAAACAAAAGAACTCATAGTTGGATTTTTTTTTTCATTCAATCTGGATAAATACTAAAAGCTAAAACACATTTTTGTGTGGAATTTCTTCAGCAATTTTGCAGCATCAGCCTCACCATGTTTAGAATGGGAATCTTTGAAGCGGAAGGAACCTTAGAGGTCATCCAATACAACTCCCTCATTTCACAGGTAAGGAAACTGGTCCAGGTAAGCTGAGTGACACCCAGCTGTGGCCTGCCTGGCATTTCTCAGGGAAAGAGACTTCTCCAGGTTCCTAAACAGCAGGCCTTTCTTGCCTGACAAAGGTTCTAATGACAGAGAGAAAAGTAAAATGGAGATTTCTAGATACTTTTTCTGGATTAACCTTGACTTGGGACAGTTTTATTCATCTAGGTGTGGGGGGCAGGCAGAAGAGTGTAACTGGCTCCAACAAAGGAAGCCAGCTGGGGCCAAAGTGGGATGAATTTCACATGCATATGAGAGGAAGTTCCAGAGATTAGAAGTCACCTAAGTCTGGATAGACAGACAGTTGAATGTGGTAGTGGAATCTCCTTTTCTATCTGTCTAAATGGGTTAATTTGGGTTTCTTAGAGGCAAGGGAATGGATTGGGTGGCCTTTTAAGGTTCCTTCCTGTCCAAGCATTCTTATTGAGTTAGGTAATATAATAAAGGTAAACCCAGTCTAGAAGGCTCCCTAAGCCAACGTTAGCTGGAATGAAGGTTTATGGGGAAACTTCAGATGAACTTCAAAGCCTCCCATTTCCTCCTCTGACTTGCAGGGATTAGCAACATGGAGAAGGGAGGCATCAGGTGTGGCTTTTGGGGGAATAAATGTGCTACTACAATGATAAGGGATGAAATGGACTCATGACCTTCGAAGCCCAATAGAACTATGGCAGCAGGTATTCTCACTGAATTAAACTCTGATATAGTAGCTTTTTAGTAATGGAGGAAAGGAAGGGGGATAGGTTAAAAAGAAAAACAAAACAGGCTCCCCATGTTCTTTGGTATCTCTTAAAAATCCAACAGCCGTGGTAACTGCAGACAGCTTTGTACTGCAGGGCAAGTCACCGCACAACCCCTTTTAAATGGAGGAAAGGGACCCCCAGTGAGAAGCCATTAACAAAGGCAAAAGACATGCAAAACAAACAAAATAATCAAGATGGAGAGAGAAGGCCAGCAGACAGCCTGGCTCTGTTCTCCCCAGCTCCTGCTGCAGGCACCTCAGACAATGTAAACAGTTAATTTGTTCACCTGCAGGCTCTGGGCAAACAGAGGCCTGGTCACACCTGAGTGGATAACTCGATTACCCCTGTAATGCCAGCGTGGTAATGTACACAAATTCTATTACACGGCAAACCTTGCTTTCAGGCATTTGAAATACCAATCAGGCCAATGTCCACTCCCTTCTTTGCTTCCAATTTATTCCTGGCGTATTGAAGCTGCACCGGAATGGCACGAGGGTGGTGCTGAACCAGACCTCTGGAGGAAATCACTAGAAGATGGTGCTCTCACTCAGCAGGGCACTTGTAGGCCTTCTCCTCTCTTGAAAAGGGTTAGGTCTGAATTTGGTTCTCATTTGGAGGGGGTTGGTTGGAAACACTGGAAGGTACCTTGGGTTCAGCCCTGGTCTGTTTCCTGAAGAGTTTATGGTATTTCAACTGAGACAAACCCTTAGCCAAGGTAGTAATGTTCACAGGATAAAGGGAAACGGCAAATGATGGGTTAATGACCCAGTGGCTTTTCAGTTTTCTTTTATGGAATCCACATACTCATCAATTAAGCAGCAAATTGTGCCTCTTTCAAAAATGTGTTTGTAGTAATTGATTGACCTCACAGATAGAGAACTTTAAAATAAGGTTTTTCAGGGGCAGAACTTATTTCCTTAGCCCGCCCATAGAATATGTAGTCTTTCTTTACAGAGATGATGCTACTGATTCCTCGGTAGCCCATAAGTTTTGAGTCTTCTTCACATTGGTGATGGATCTATAATAAGCTACCCCCCCCCTTTTTTTTTTTTTGCCCAATTCTTTTATGATCAACAATACTATTTGTGAGATGATTAGCTGGGGCTAGAGGTTAACTCTGTGACTGAGAAAGAGAGTCAAGTTAGCTGGCTCTCGTGGGGTTGGATTTACTATCTTGGCCTTATCAGCACTTGCTCAAAGCAATTGAGCTAGCTAGCTCTGACTCTTCCTCACATACATAATTATATTACAGTCTTATTTATCTATAAATGAAACAAGAAGGCAGCTGACCTAGCCAGAATGTTTTTAAAAATATCATATGGTAATAAATTATGCACATAGTGATGACCTTTAAGCACCACAGACCCTAAAGAGATCAAATTTTGATTAGCATAGTTTTAGTATTATGTCTCTTCTTTTGTATTTTAAGTTTGAAAATTGGCTGCTGGGTCGGAGTTTACGATTAAAATTTTCCCTAACAATTATAAACCAATGGGAATTTAGATGTGAGGAAGCCATGTAATACACCCAAGAGAAGTATATGACACAAAATAATTCGGTTATGGTAACTATATCATCCAGAGCGAAAAAATCGACTTTTGATCCAGGCCTCACACTCTATGTCCTTACCTTGCTCAGAATGCGGATGAGGTCACCCCGTTGGAAGGATAGTTCATCTGGCTGGTCACCGTGGCAATCCCATAGGCCCTGGTAATAACTGGCATAGTCCACTGATCAAAGAGAGGAGAAATCAAGGTGAAAAAGACAAGCCCACATTTTTGCCACAAAGGGAAACCAGAGTTCTGTTATTGCCCCTAGGAAACCTAAGATTCAGGGGGGTCGACATGAGATACAGCCAGACACTCAGCATGAGCAAAGGACTGTGGGAGAAGGAAATCATTAACTAACATTAAATATTTACAGATCACCCTTAGTCAGATGCTATTCAATAATATGATAAATCTATTCATTTATTAATAAAAGAAAATCAGGCAGGTAATTTTTCACTTGGTTTGTAAGTAAGCAGCACGAAGAGATTTCCTGCTAGACTTTTGATCCAGGGCATCTAAACCATCCAGTGCTTCTCTTCATTAAGCCTTTGAAGGAATGGGATAAGTCTCCGACTTCCCATTTACAAGAGAGGCTAAGTCACAGTCTCACATATTGGCCTCCTCTGTTACACAGAAACTTCATCCTGGGCACTTCCCACCCAGGTACTATATGAGGTAATCACCAATAAATACGGAAACGAATAGCCTGATCTTTAAGTGGAACCAAGGGGGTGTCTCATCCATTACAACTAAATTCTGGGTGGGCTGGCCCTTTTCCAGCATCTCATTTGTAGACCCTGAACATGTCTGCCAAGATTTATCTGCAAGCCCCCAGGGGAACAGAAACCAAAGTGATCTGCATTAAAAATGAAAGCAACTCAAGACGACAAACCAAGCTTTAGAAGCAGTGGAGAGATTTACTGGGCTTCTCAGCAAGACTAGATGGCAGTGATGCCACAGGACAGTCATCGATTCTTAACAATGAAGAATTTGTATTGATCTTCTACCCGGAAAGGTTAAACACTAGAGTAGAAAGTGGGAGAGGATCTGGGGATTTGAATGGCAGGAGAGCTAATGCCCACTAGACCAGGGATAACGTGGCAGTGTGACCTGTTCCCTGGGATGCTGTATATGAGACTGTAAACAAAGCACCTACCAAAGATGAAATTCCTATTGATGGCAGTTCAGGAGTCCTGGGTTCTAATTAAAATTCAAGTGATTTTCAGGGACCCTATTTTACCAGTTTCCACCTTTCCCTTCATTTGCCTTGATCCTCCTGTGAGGAATGATGGTGTTAGCCGCTGAGCATGGGAATTGATGGGGGTAAAGTGGGCTATGTGTGTGTGTGTCTGTGTGTGTGTGGGGGGATGGACAGAAGCCCTAGCTATTAATACATTTCTTTTTTTCACTTGTTCCTAACTTACAAGCAATTCAAATAATAAAGGCAAAGGGGATCAAAATCCCCATATGTTTCTGGAAAAGAACTTTAGTGGGAATCTGAAAGTGCACAAAAACAGAGGAAGGGCAGAGCTATTTAGTTAAGACTTAGATAATGCAAACAGAAGTAAAAATATTAACCATATGGAAACTCAGGCTTGTTTACTTCACACAAAAAGTGGTTTGTATACGCAGACAACAGAGGGCAGCAAACAAGATAACTATGCTGGAAACATTCTGCCGCAGAGTTAAGAATATTTTTGGAAGAAAAACACATTGCGATAAAAATGCTAACTCTTGAAAAGACAAGGCATATATATTTTTTGGGTATCGGTGCATGAAATAATAGAGAACTGTCAGTCCCTGAAAAGTGAAAGTAGTTTTCTCAAAGGATATATTAATGCATTTTCAGCTGTAATGAGTTGATTAACCACCCCAAGAATCTGACTAACTTTAGGAAAGGAAGGTACATTGACATCTGTATTCTTCATGGATTTATATATGGTAGAGACAATCATTTTCTAGAAATAGATTTTAAAAACATAACTTCATATATCCAAATGGTAAGACTGACAAAGTTGTCTCGGCTTGCTTTGGCCTAGCAGATGGTCACTGCGGGGTACTGCTCCCCACGTGCCTGGGTATTGGATAGCGACTAAGATTATGAGTACCTTTTGGGTATATATGTAAATGGTGATTTGCTATTGGGTATATAAGGCGCCTGGGGGAGAACACCTGGAGAAAGATCTATTCTGAAAGCAAAATAGACCACAGAGAAAGCAAGACGCTAAGAGGAAATCTAAACCCATCTGAGAAAAGATAAAGATAGAAAGTGCCTTCAGTTCTTCATAAGCTGAAGGGCAAAAGAAGATGGAACTTAGGAATCCAGGAGATAGTTCAGCCTAGCCCAGGGGTCGGCAAACTTTTGAGACGGAAGAGCTACCAGGGGTCGGCAAACTGCGGCTCGTGAGCCACATGCAGCTCTTTGGGTACGTACATGTGGCTCAGAAGTAAAATTGAAAATGAAAATAAAACTATCATAGTTTCATTTATAATATTACTTTAAATTTTCCTTATTTGTAAACATCTATTTATGGCTCTTGAATAATTTTTAAATTATTGTAAGGGGACACAGGATTGGCACTTCCAGGGGTCGGCAAACTTTTGAGACGGAATGTACCCAAAGAGCCTCATGTGGCTCGCGAGCCACAGTTTGCAGACCCCTGGCCTTGCCCGAGAGCTGGAATCATCAGAACCACAACAAATAAAGCACTGAAAAATAAGCAGAATGAAGGGCTAAAAATGGGGGAAAGGCTGGACTTGCTACCCAGACAGAGGTATGCTGGTATTAAGGAAATCAGAAAGGAGGAACGCCTTAACTGGACAGGATTGGACTCCGTGTTGCAGACTGCCTGTTTAAGATATGTATGGTTTGCATTTCTGTGTAAGTGTGTAGACAACTTCGCTGCATTCAGTCCTGTTCAGTGCCAGGGACTGTCCTAGATGTTGGGAATCCTGCACTGGCCACACACGGTCCCTGCCCTCAGGGCTACCATCTAGTGGGGGAGGCACCGTGAAACAGTCACACAAATATTTATTTATTTATGATTACAATATGTCTGCAAAGGAGATGTTGACGGTGCTGTATATGACAGGAAATCTAAACTAGCCTGAGGTCAGGGAAGGCTTCCTGAAGCTTTAGTTATATAATAAAAGCCTGACTGAGAATGGGTGTTCTTTAAAGACCTTAAAGAAGAGGAGAGGTAAGGCTGAGGAGGGCTTTAGTTCTGAACTTGGCCCCAGGAAGAGCTTGAAGGCTGGAAAGTCTGCCAGGCCGGTCCAGCTTCTCCCTAAACTTGACCAACTCATCTTATAACAAGTGATGCTGGAAGAGAGTTTGATGTCTTTAAATCAGTGAGGAATGGGAGCTCAAGAGAGGATTGCCTCTGTGGGCTGGAGCCGGGTTCCTTTAGTTTTACACTGCTCTGGCAGCAGCCTGAGATCAGAAATGGCGTAGCATTCTGACCATTTAATTAATTCAAAACATCCTCACTCTCATTTTGAGGATATTATTCCATCTAATTATTTTTTTTTCCAGTCTGTCCATTTGGAATGAAAAACAAAAGAATAAAGCTTAATGCCAGCATTTCTCAATGTCTCTCCAAAAAACATAACTTGCACTAAATAAAGCCCGGTAATTCAAAAGCAAAGCACTAATATATTCAGCATAAAACAGACAGAGGAGCTACAGCAATAATGACACCACTAATAACTAAAACAGTTATAACAATTAACAACAATTACAATGATAGAGAAGCTAATGGGTATGATCACAGCATTTAAATTGCTAGCAGAGCTGAGAAGGACTTTTCCTAGAGGAAAAACAACAACAACAATAACAAAAAAACAGGCCTCATCTTATTTTCTTTATCTCAAGTAAGAGAAGCTAAGCTCCAAGCAAACACAATGTCATAGAGACAATAGCCATAGACCAAGTTAAAAAGATATTGTTTCTCTCTCTTTTCTAGGTATTTATTGCAAACCATTTGTCATTCCACACCAACTTCTTTACAGCCAGTGATAATAATTTCTCGTGTAACTGAGGCCAAGCTGGTGCTACTGTTGACAGTCAATATTTGAAAATGAGCCTCAATGATGTGGAGAGTTCTAAGGTGAAAGGATCAGGACACCTTTCTGCCTCTTCCCTTCTTGAGGGACAACAGAACCTGACTGTTCCTTCTAGGGTTTCTACGTCACCTTGGGCTTTTTGTGGGACATGTGGTAGTTCCAGATTTTAAGCTGTGACCAAGGAAAAATGACTACAGGCAGGTCAGCATGTTGTTTACATTTTCTTGATGAGCAAAAGGACAGTGCCAACAAGGCCTGGCATTGAGTACGGCTACTTCACAAATTATGGAAAAGAGAACAAGAAGACAGATAAAGCCAGTCCTTGCTAGAGCCTGGGTTGGTGAGACTTGGCCAAAGAAGGCCAAAGCAGTTGGCCCATTGAAAGGGACTTGAATTGTTCTCAAGGCCAGCCCAGAAACGGCCATCACGTTCAGTCCATTAAAGCAGACACAGTCTGATAACTTATTAACTAATTCAGAGGAAACCCATGAAAAAGTTTGTCAAGCTCATTGACTATGACACCAGAACAGGAAGAGCAACTGAACAACACCATTTGCTTGTTTTCCCAGCTCTTTAATCTTGAGTTTTGAAATTATTATAGTCCTTAAAGTTATAACTATGTTCTTGAAGTGGGAACACTCACAGATCTAGATTTTTCATCTTCTTTGCTCCTTTTATTGGACTCAAATTGTAGCTGGCTGATGATCAACTCATGTTTGGTCTTGGGAAATACATTTCAAAAAGTATGAGCTGCAAATACCTCTGTGGCTCTCTCCATTTTTTTTTTTTGGTATGTGTGTGTGTGTGGAAATAGCTCACTCCATTGGTGGGCACTGAAGTGAAAGAGTGCCTCAGAGATGGATGCTCGTCAGTCACCATTTCTCTGTGCTGCAGAAACTACTGAACATGGGCTCCTCTTTGACTGAGTTTGCATACAATTTCAGAGCGAAAATAAACTGTTTCAAGATCTTCCTTGGTCAGAGATTTGATGCATCTGAGGGTGATGTGTGCCTCCAGCTCTTTATTTGACATGGCATCCCCGAGCAAATGGTCAGTAGTTTTCATATAAACAGCACAGAATGAGTTTTATTTTTGGCTACTTGAACATTGACTTCTCATAATAGGGAAGGGAGATAAGCAAGCTCTCATCACCGGAAGACACTTAGTGTTTAGACTGTTAGGGTGATGGGTTGGAATTTAGTGAAAATCTGAGGTGTTGAAGAGTCACTCATTAAAATAACCCTGTTACTAACTGTCATGCTGTAAACCAAGCTCTTTATAGATTGAACAATCAATACTACAAGGCTGTGATAGATTTTCTAGGTAACAGAATAAAATAAAAGAAATTACATCTTACAGGGTCATTAACACCCAATAAGGAAAAACTGAATTCCTTTTTTTCCCCCCTCTTCTGATACGATCTAGTTGGGCTTTAAAAATGTTAGCAGTTCCATCAGGGGAAAGCGCTCTGGGAACAGGATCCCTGGAATGGTGGAGAAAAGTGAGTGCATTTTAACGGTAACCCTGCTAGCCATAGCGTCTTTTAGGAAAAAAAGACTTTTTTCCCCTTCAAAAGGCATGTGACCCCTGAGAAGAACTAAGTGAGCCAAACCTGTGTAGCTTGCCTATTACATAAGAATCACATTATTCTAGAGCTCCCTGCCTTTTCTATCCCTTCACTGGGCCTGCCTACCCTTCCCTCGGACCTCTATATTTTATTGTTATAATGCTAAGTGATGACATTTGGATGTTACATATTTGTTGGCATTTTGGAGAACAGGCACTATATCAATTTAATAAATAAATAAATAAACACAAATAATAACAATTCCTGCCTCAGATCCTGCAGAGAGAGAGAAAGTCCTCCTCTGTTTTTTAATCACTGAATCACCAATCATTATAACTGGTTGGAAGTATAAACCATAGAAACATATTTAGAGCTCACTACACTTTAACAGAACCTATTTTGGGAGTAGAAGCATGAGGAACAAAAGGTTTTTTTTTTTTTAAACCTACTTGAATTAAAGCTGCTGGAACAGTTAAGAAACAAAACTCCACTCACTCCCCAGATATAACCTTAGAAAGAGGGGCGGAAGGAGGAAATGAGATGAGGGAGGAGTCTGAAACTGAATTTTAGACTTTTGCCAGATTTCTGCTTCTTGAATGGAGTTTCATGTAAAGTTGGCCATAGGAAGTGTCCAGTTATTCCACCCAAGCTATCCACATGAAGTGTTTCTTTCCTGCACTGGTAATGGAAGTTAGCTGAGAAAAGACTTATGTGGGACATGTGTTGGTCAGGAAACAGGTTTTCTGTTGGAAGTCCATACAACAAGTAGAAAACAATAGAAAATGGGTTTCAGAGGGAATTAATCACATGAGGTCCTTCCTTGAAGCTGCACTAACACTCCTGCTTCATTCTCCCCTCCGTTCTTTCTCTCTCTCTCCTGCTTTGGCACGTGACTTTTCCCTGTCTTTTCTCTCCCCTCAGAGAAGCTGAGCATTTATGAAGTTGGGTCCTTCACTAAACCTGTTACATATTCGCTTCCCATAGAGAATGAATCAAGGAGAGGGGCTTTGCTGAGTGGCTAAAGAAGAGAAGAAAAGGCACAAGGAAAGGAAGAGAGAGGAGAATGGGAAAAGGGAGCAGGGAGGGGAAGAAGGAAAGAACTCCTAGGCTTAAGACTTTCATAGAATCTCTAAGAAAAAACCAGCCATGATCTAAACCAGCCACAACTCAGGCTCTGCTGATGGAACGGATGTCGTTGAGGTGGCCCTTCCAACACGCATTCCTTTACAGACTGATGACAACAGAATAGGTCCTTGGTCCACTTAAGGAGGCTTAGAGGGGCACCTGACCTTAAAAAGGATGGGCTCACTAACAGCCTGAAGCATGGTTAACAGTCTGGGATGAATAAGATGTAATTTTGCATTCAACAAACCTGTTACATATTCATTTCCAAATGTGCCTGGAATCAAGCGGGCCATCAAAAGTCAGCATTGCCAAGCAATTCTATCCTTCACCCCACGCTCACTTTTCAGATCTGACACATTTCCATTCCCCTCTGAACTTGCAATCTCCGGGCCTCTCAGAGAGGAGACGTTTTCATTCTTTCCATTCTCCATCCTCTGATCTCTTAGAGATGAGGCAATTCTATTTCCCCAGTACTGATTTTCAGAAATACTGATAGGAAAAAAAATAAATATCTGGTTTGGCTTTCCACCCTCTCTAGGATAAATCTTAGCTGTTCTGGGAACATTAATTAAAGTGAATAGGTGGCTGCTTTTAAAGTTAAGGTATTTCCCTATCCAGTCATCTTAGTCGGGGCTTTTGAGGTCGACACACCGGTACCCTTTTAATCAGTGAGTTCTGTAGTGTAAGGAAGGTGCTTTCTGCAGTTGCAAGCCCCCACGTCCTAACCAGCGCCGGTATCTGTATGAAGCTGTCATACCTCCTCTTTGTTGAGTGCCGCTCTCATCTGCTTCTAGACCATCTTCATCTGAGGAAATAAACGTGATCAGCATTAGCAATTAGTGGTCAATCGTCTGTGTTCTTTATACTGCTTCCTGAATTCATCACACTGTCTTCTTTAAGGAAATAATTACCATGTTCTTTTTTTAAACAATCATCTCTCAACTTCAAACTGGTCTTCTCCTCCTTCCCTCCCTGTTCATTCATTTACACACGTTTTAAAGTGCTTACTATTATACATACGAGGTGCTGCCCTAGGAACCGGAGATGCAGCAATGGACAAGACTGGCAAGGGTCCCTGCCCGCATGCAGCTTCCAATCCACTGGATTATTTAGGCACCTAACACAAAATCCTAATACTTTTCCTCAAACCCTATTTCTTCTCCCCTTCTAGAATTCTCTTCAAAGTGTTTTATCTCCATGTAACTGCTCAGAGTTTCTGTGTGTGTGTGTGTGTGTGTGTGTGTGTGTGTGTGTGTGTGTGAAGCTGGGCATATGTTTAAACCCTCCATGATTAATTAGTCCTTAGTGTGTCTAGCTTTGTTCAGCTGTAGCAGAAGCCAGTCACGTACATAATTTTGTGTTCCTAGTACTTGGGGCTTGTAGTTATCCTTTCGCTGGTGTCATTCAGCCTGCCTTGTTCATTAGAGTGTAAGCTCCTGAGGGCAGTTGGAATGGTCTTTTAATTAATTGCTGCAGGTACACAGTGGGGTCAAAGTCAGGGCTATTGTCTAACTCCAGTCAAATCTTTCCATGGTCAAAGTCACAACATGATTGGCCTATGTTTCTTATCCTCCTGAACCCATTTCATTTCAGAGTTTATACTACCTGATAACATGGAAATTGGGCAAACACACACTTGCTTTTCTTTTTCATCACCATTACCCTCTACACACACACACACACACACACACACACACACACACACACACACACACACACAGTGAACATGGCATAACCAACAACAATTTGAGGGCTGAATACTCAGTTTCTTCTGGCCACATTGCCTTTCCTTTCTCTTCCTGGGTCTTAGGGCACTTGTCTTGCTTCCCCATAGTTAGTTATGCCACTGAATGGAACTTTTGAGGAGATGGCTTGGGGACAGTCCCCCAACTTTTAAAAAAACTATGAAGTTTATAGGGCAATTTGAATTCTAATATGTCAGACTGGGGGAAGTTAACTCTAAGCTCCTAAGTAAAAAGAAACAGCATAAAAATATGTTAGAACACTATATAGAGCATTAAAGAAATAATTGATTCTACATACAAAATGTTATAGGTTCACTACAAAAACAAAAACTAAGGGATTCATACTCTGGGGGAATGAGTCACCTGTTACCAAGGTAAAACTAAGTGTGTGTGTGTGTGTGTGTGTGTGTGTGTGTGTGTGTGTGTGTGTGTATACATTATATGTATGTATGCATTTTTTTTTACCTCACAAGATACTTTGACTCAACTTGTCTTATCTCCATGTATGGCCAAGCAGCAGAGAATTTCCTACTTACCACCTATAGAGCTCCTTCCACCCCACCCTGAGGAATAAAGATGTGGGATATTGGGAAAGGGAAATCAAATATCAGAAATACAGCATGATGAAATAAACCATGTTAAACATAATTCTTTGCACATTGTCTTCTTATTACACTTCCTTCCTTACTCTGCTATGATACTTTTCCCTTTTGACATAGGACCAATTTCACAGGATTGAAAATAACTCTTAAAAGAAGAGTTGGTACGTCCTTCATTTTAGAGATACCCAATAATTTGGACAGAGAGCAGCTCTTTTGCTGATATCAAACAACTCAGTCACAAAGCCCAATAATCTGCTGTGCTTAGGCACTTTTGCAGAAAGCATTTATTCTACCTCTGCTGTCTGTGCGCAGATGTCTCTTCCTCCCAATTCTAATCAATGTAAATTGGGTCAGATCTCCGCTGTGAATTACAAATTGGATCCGAAGTTGGAGGGTCACCGTGCCTGCTATTCCACCTCCTTCCCACCACCATTAGATGGGAAGCTACACCAAAGATCTTTTCTAAATAAATCAGACTTTATTGTAAAACTCGGCCACTGACGAGACATAACCTCATTAGCATTGATTTTAAAATAAATTATTGAAAGTGGCTTGCTTGCTCTTTGCATTTGTAAAATAGAAAAATATAAATGTATTTGCAATGATAAAAATGAAAACTAAAACTTGATTCCTTTATCCTTTCAAGCAACAGCACTTAATCTAGTCATGAAACAAAAATGGAAAAAATAAAACTCTGTTCTGTGTGGTTCAATTCCAGCCAGATTCTCTGATTTCCATTGTGCCTGTGGAGTCGCCTAGAAAGAAAGCAGGATGCTGGCCATAGATCTTATATATCATTCACAACGGCTGCTGAGCTTTACAGTGATGGATATGAATGGCGAAGCTCCCATCTCTACATCTGTTCTATCTAACATTGTACTTCCTGGGTGGCTGAAAGTGGGCTCAAGTCAAGAAGCCTCGCTATTGATGTGAGAGGCTGGGTTCTGTGCCTCTGTGGCCTTTGTAAGAGTGAGTATGGGGTCCCATCACATAGTGAAGGAAAGTGCCCTTCACAGCTGGTGGTGAAGGGCACGCCTCTTAGAACTTCCCCAACTTCAGAGGGCACGATATAAACGGAGAGGCATACAGTTCATCTCGGATCCTTCCTACAAGTCTGCAAGAAGGTAATTATTAGCCTCAGCTAAGAGTAGAGGAAACTGAGACCCAGAGAAACACAGGGCCATGGTCAAAGCTATGGCAGCTGGGATTTGAACTGAGGTCTATCTGATTGCTCTCAGGGTTCTTGGGATGGTATTTGGCTAAAAAACAATGAATGAATGAATAAATGAATGAATGAAGACCAAAAGAAAGATAAAATAGTCCCTGTGCTTTGAGGCAGAATCTATGTTCAGGCCCTAGTTAATACTCTGAAGGGCAATAGCTAAACTTACGTTTTTCACCACACCCACTGGTCCTGTGATAAATGGAGTTGATCACTCCAAAGCCAAGAAAACTGATTATATGGCAACAGAAAAGGGTGGGTTACACAGCCAAATTTCTCATTTTTATATATCTATAAGGTGAGGCTTTAATTTTAAAGAGATTATTTGGAAAAATATTTTTTTGGCTAGAGAGCTTACTATACTTCTTTAGAAGAATATTATTTTTAGGCATCTTGGCATCACATCTACTGAAATACATCTTCATTTAAGAGAGAATTAAAATTTATGTGTTAGCTCAACTTTAAATTGTAATAGATTATAATGGTCCTTGCTCCTAACAGGGCATATGGGACCCCGACCTTACATAGGTTTTAAACAAATTAACCTCCAAAGATTACTGTCCACTTATTACATTAAATGCTCTACTTGATTCCCAAATATCTCATCTCAGTTGGGAAAACAGTTGAGAAAGATTCTGTTAACTGCGCGAACGTGTAAGAGAACCATGGGGCACCACAAATGAGCACCAGTATCCAGAGAGTTGATTTCAATCAACACTCTTGGCACAATGTCAGGGACGCTAATGAGAGGCTGAAAGGAACAGGACACGGACTCTACTTGGGAGGCGCAGAGAGGAGCGAGCTTCCCATGACACCCGGCTCCTTTCTGAAGTGCTGCTCTGACATCGCAGAGCAGTGCAGAGAGAGTAACATTCAAAATATGACTAGGTCAGAAAGACGGAGAGCACTTCCCCCAAATAAAGCAAAATGACAGAAGCTTAAAAAAATGCCAACTGTACCGATGTGCAACCAGATGCCAAGGTGCTGTGGTGACAGATGCAACAGAAATACAGACAGACTCAAAGTGCAAAGGGAACGTGCAAAAAGGTGGAAATAGAAACCACTCCCCAGCACACACATCTATGTTATACATCTGTGGATATTATAGCACCTCGTCAGACAACCTGGAAAATACGAGCAAGATGCTAATAACACGTTTAATTCTCCGGTGTGTATTTGGTAATCTCAACTATTACCTTAAAATAGTTGCATCCTATCCCTGTGATACGGTCTTGATGTACAAGACATTAAACTCAATTTGTGCTCACTGCAATACTTGGAATACACGGAACTTAATTTCCCGAATAATAATTGAGCACCTACTAGCTGGGAAGAAGGACCTGAATACAAATCGCCATGGCTGCTAAAGGGCTAAAACAGAGCTCAATTCCAGTCGAGTCACTGAGGATTTCATCAGCCGAGACCGGGGTGGGGAGGGAGGGGGAGGATATTCTAGCTGAAGGCACAGCATGACTCTGGTTTTGGTGCTGGCTAGACAGCGCAGCGGGGCTAGGACCTCCGCGGGGCTAGGCCCTCGTGTGCTTGGGTGTGAGAGAGAAGGGCCGGTGAACTCTGAGCCCGAGGATGGCACTGGCTCTTCTTTGAAGCTCCCCCCATGCAGTGTCACTTTCCTATGAAACTGGAATTTATTTTCTTCATAAACTTTGTTGTTTTTGTGTCTGCGTTTCTCTTTCCTTAGACCTCCTACGATTACTGTTTTCCTTCCTGTGGGTCTGGACAACTGAATAGGGGGAGAGAGAATTCCACAGAAGGCTTTGTTTCCATTTGAGTCAAATTAAACAAAACAAAACAAAACCCAAACTCAACCCAGTTATATGCTTTATTCTAAAGCAATCTGGTTTCTGGGTCTATAATAACCCTCCAAGGCAGTGTGGGCAGCGATAGAATGGGCACAGAAATTCCCAGGGAGGCCTCTTTGTCTCTTTCCGTTCGCGCTCCTGAAGCCTCTCCAGAGACACACAGCCGGGTTCTGTTGCCACAGCAGCTGCTGCAAGGCCCCAGTTACAGCTCCTGGAGGGTCTCAGGCGCCTCGCTGGATTCCGGCCTTGAGGCCCCAGACAAAGAGAAACCCAATAAGAGTTGCCCTTTTATGGACTCTGGAATCATGAAACTGGGCCTGCCTAGCCCGTCCTATAATTTTGGGGAGGGGTGAAAGAGGGCTCAGAAAAGCCTCCCATTTCTCACATATTGCTGGAGCATTTCTTCGTGGTAGTTCCCTGCAGTTTAATCTACTGCAAATGAGATCTTAAAAATCAAGAGCCCCCATATGCTCAACACGGATGTTCAGCAATCCCCCCGGATAACAACCTTGAAACCATATGATCCAGGATGCACATTTTTGTGGTCTTGGCTGAAAACCTCGAGTGCCCTGGTTTTCCCTCATGGGAAGGAGAATGCCGACCACGTAGCAAATGCTAATTATCCCATGATTAATGTGATGTACTGCATTTAATTGGATGACCCATATGTTATTTTGATTAGGAAAAAAATATTTTTGTGTTGACTTGGTATGTGTTACAAGCACTTTTCTCTCTACTAGGAAGCCCGTGGAAGTTAGATTCTGGAAGGGAGATCTCACACGGCCTTCAATATGGAGACAATGAGGCTTGTGTAGGCCTCAACCCAAAGAGGAAGGAGACAGAACCATCAATGCTAACTATTCTCCACAAAGCACATTTACTGTTCTAATGAAGCACATGTGAGAGGCCCAAGTCATTTGACTATTGATGGGTATGCGGTGTTAGCACAATCCAACGTTATTGTCGGCTGTCCCTCCACCCAGCACCTGTCCTCGCAGTAAAAATGGGCCTGAGCAGAAGGTGTGCTCCACATTCCATCTGCTCAGGATTTTCAATTTCACCTGCTTCATGCATACAGCTGAAAATGTCCAACTGGATTGTCTCAGGGCTGGTTGGTGGAGGCGGGAAGCTAGGCATCCCCCAACTCTTCAAGGAAGTCACCTTTCCTATTTAAACACCCACCAAATCAATAATAGCCCATGTTTACTGAGTGATCACTGCCTGCCAGGGCTCTGCTCTAAGTGCCTTACACACATCAGTTCTAGACTTTTCACGGCATCCCTCTGTGAGAGCTACTACTGTTATCCCCTTTTTACAGGTGGGAAAGTCAGACACAGCGAGGGCAAATAACTTGCTTAAGGCCTCACAGATAGCAGGTGGCAGAGCAGGTCCATCCCACGAGCCAGCACATTTATCTGCAGTGCCATGCCTTCTCTCACATGTTGCTGCTCAGTAGGTGGTCTTGAGAGATGACAGCAGAGGGGAGACAATGTTTGGTCCCTCACATTCCCTCTCAGTTGCTCCAGGATTGGTAGTGTGGCACGTGCAAAACTAACAGCAATTTCAGAAGCAACAAGCTGAGTGGTGTGGATGGGAAGCTGGGACATGGAGGCTTACGGCTGAAATATTCCTATCATAATTAAATGACAATATATCCCACGTTCAATGCTGTCTCTAAATCCTGTGATGGATAGAGGCTTTTGGGAAAGGACCTGCTGGCTGGGGACGACACTGTCTTTTGGAAACCTGTAAGCAAGTTAGCTGCCGTTTCCATCACCCTGCAGAAAGAGACCCTGGCTCTCCTATAGGGAGGCCTTCCTCACTTCTGAGGGACAGCTGCTGTGAGCGTCAGGTAAGTGGCTTTCCTCAAGAAAGCAGGCCAGTCTCCATGCCCTTGGAGTCCACTCCAATATCCAAACTAGCATGGCTTTTGGAGGAAGGCCCGGGTACCCTGGGCAGTGCCACAGTGGCCAAAGGTAGGAGTTTAAGAGGTGGGGGAAGAATGGTGGTTAAGAAGTCAATCACACATTCACTCACCCACCTGGGGTAAAGAGATGGTCCCAAACCATCTCTTTATTTTCTGAGGCCTCTGTCCCTTTACTCTCTTTTGCTCTGCCTCTCTGAGCATCAGCCCCCTCCTCCCTGGCTCCTCTGAGAACTAAACATGGTGCACAAAAGGGCCTTCTTTGCTCCTTTGGTTCAGGGGGGTTTTCCTAGAGCGCTGTCTCCCACAGCTGTAATCCAGAGTGGAGTGTCACCCAGATATTTCCCCAAGCCTGGGCAGGAGCCAGTGAAATGTGAGCTCACTAGGAAGACTCTGGCCAAGTTGAGGAGCACATCTCCTTGTAGGGAGTGTTGTGGATTAGATCCATTTCTGCACCCTGCTGTTGCAATGGAGCAGACTGTGAAAGGGAAGATTCTCAGAGGAGCTGTGTTTTAATGTAGCAATTTGATTCAATTTTCCACTCTATAAAATTACCCATCACTGCTCGTTGCTTTCTAACAGACACCTTCACTCTTAATTTAACAATCCTATCGAATTCTGCCAGGGAAATTGGAAAAATTTATCACCTGTGAAATTTTATTTTCCTTTGGTTGTATCTGTTTTTGTAAAACTTCATTAACGACGATGACTTGCTGAGGAAATTATCATTTTTTTTTTTTAACTTCAGACACAAGAAATGGCTCGACCTCAACCAAGATATCATTTGCATACTAAAACACAACAAAAAGGCTAGGGAAGTTGCGACTGGCAGAGGCTGGAAGTGCTGAGAGGAAGCAGGCTCTGCTTGATGGGTGGTGGGTGGGTGGGTGAGGTCTCAGGAAGGAGGAGACGTGTGGCCACAGCCCTGCTCCTTGACTCAGGAAGCAATGACGTGGCTTCTCCCCCAGGGAAAAGACGGATGCAGCGTTGACAGGGTTGGACCCTCTTCTTTGGAAGCCTTGAAATACAAGTTGCTTACTCATGATGTATTTTAGCAACCAGCCCTGTCTTCAGGGGCCTGACTGCTAGATTCACCTTAGTTCCTACGTTTATCTGGGATTGAAGTTTAAATTGCTATAAATTTAGGCTTAACTTGAATTTCTCAGCAGAGCACTGAACTCCTGGCAAATTTCCACAGGAGCAATCGTTCTGAATGGACTTGAAGATTCAGCGTTCCTGTGGTCTAACTACCTCACAATTAAAAGGCTCAGGCTTCGGTTTTCTACAGTCTGACCCCCACTGTGCTCTGCACTGTTCAACAGCTGCTGTTATCCCCACAAGAAATGGCTCTGCGGAAGCAGTGATGACTACACATTTTTCGAGATGCCAGTTATCATGCCTTTGGAGGAGAAGAAATATGCACAGTAGACCCGCTATCATGGTGGGTAAAGGAAACATGTTAGGGTTATTTGTAAGAGACACGATTTGATTCACGGTATATCTGAACTAAGTAACAATGAGTTGTGCTCCATCAGGGTTTCATCGGGTTTCTGAAAAGGTTTGTCAGCATTTATCTATATTCCTTCAGGTTTTTAATATCCTTCATCATTTCGAGGCAACTTTCCATTATTCTCACAATTCCACAGAAAAGAAGTTGAAGCTAGAGAGTTTTGATGAGCCACCCAAAACTCTCTGTAAACCAATATGAGTATTCTTGACTCTTTAACCTTGTTGACATTATGTAATAAACTACTTCACGTGGTACAGATGAAAGACTCTCCCCAACTGATTCGTCTTGCTCGCAGAGCAGAGAGCTTCTGTATTGGGAAACACAGAGGCTCCACTGAAACCTCCCTACATTCTCTCCCTTAGCGGTTTGGCTTCCTCTGGAGGTTTCAGAGTTATATTCTCTATCAGGTCAAGAGTTTCTGAAATTAGAGGAAGATAATTAGAAGATGAAGTTTCTTACCTGGTAAGACTTCATAAATATCTTCTTCATCTTCTTTCTCCTCTGTGGGCTGTTTTAACCCCATACTCCCAGGCAAGATAATGGGTCTACACTGGGAACCAGAATTTTGGGAGTCAAGACCATCAATATCATCATACATTTCTTCCTCTTCTCCTTCCTCTTCGCCATCTTCACATGGAATGGTTAAAGAGCTCAGATCTGCCAGGGTAGAGATGAGAATGGGTCAAGATAGGGGAAAAAAAAATAAAAGAATAAGGCAGGGAAGGAAAGAGAGAGAAGGAAGAAGAGGAATGAAAATAAAACATGTCAAAAGAAAATGAAACACTAGGTTAAGTGCTGTTACTTCTAATGTGGGCCTTGGTGACAGGAAACCTACAGAAAAGGCCAGACTAACACTGTGTCAGGTTTAAACCATCGACATAAATCCTTCCTTGCAATAAAACTTGATTGGGATGAAGCATCCCTGAAAAGTATGGCTGTGCGAATGAACGCATGAGGTGAAGGGAAGAAAATAGGCCAGGAGAGAAAACGCCAGCATGCCATGCACTGCTCGTCAAGTAGAAAACGGGAAGGGTGAGTGATGGCCTGTGGTTCGCCAGGGTGCACAGAGCTGTGGGAACTAGGGTGGCTTCCATAGGGTACATGAGCTGTCAGGAGCTCATCTCCCTCATGATCTCACGGCAGGATGCAAGACAAGTTTGTTTGTCAAGAGAAAAATGGGCAAAAGTGGAAGAGGAAGAGAAAGCAGGTTATGGAAAAAAAATCATACAAGACCAAATGGAATGGCTTAGCGATGTGGATACCATGTCCTTTTGCAACCGTACAGTCTGGCTGACCTTAAAGTGGGTCATCGCATAGAGGCTGTTGAGCCATCATAACACTGGGGAGCCCAGGGCAGGAGAGGGAGATTGGTTTTTTATTTTAATGGGGAACTGGGAAGGTTCATTCTCTGATGTGCAGTACAGAGTGCTCTCTGAAACCCTGCTGAGGGACCTCTGCAGGATGGGCGAGTGCAGTCAGGGTACTCTAGGGAAGGTAAAGATGGAGAGACATCCGATGTTCATTTCAAAACAATAAAACTGTTTGGCTTGATTAGGCTTTTAATAAAGATTTTGCAACAATTTTCATCTGAATGCTAGTGCCACCTCATCTGAAGAAAGGATCAAAGACACATTTGTGGCTTAAACCATATGTTATTATTTTGTTTGTTTTAAAATAAAATGGAATGAATAATTTCTTCAATGTGGGATTCTGAAAGTACCACAGGGTACAGCTCAATAAAGCTGCTTTGAGTTTTATTGAGGTTTACACACTTAGGGGTATATTACACGCATAAATCCAAGGCACCTAGATGAGAGTGTACCCTGTAGTCTCACCATCAATGTTCATGTTTGCCTAGTTCCAGTCTATTATACGTGACGCTCTTGGTAGAGGCAATAGTTTGTTTTTGTGATAGCAAAGGCATAAACTGAGTAAAATAGGCAATTCTTGTAATTAAAGCTCGGGTGCTTCCTTCTTTTTATCCACTATAAAATCTTATAGCAGAATAAAAAACAGAGATGCGAAGGCTTGGTGTTTTTCGGTTGACATGCTTCTGCCTAGGTCTTGGACCATGTACAAAGTTGGGTGTTTCCGCTTTTCTGCAGAGGCAGGGTCCTGCCATGGTGTCTACCACCATGAGGGGCATCTGATGCCAAGTGACAGACTCAAGGTTGGCTCCTTCTACCTGCCTGGCCACTTCCGGACAAGGTTTCCTGGGCCACTGTCACTGCTGTGCCTGCAGGCTGGCCAGCAGAGGGTACTCTAAGAGCAGTCATTTAATGTCTACAGGCAGGGCTCTTCCCATCCCAGAGCAAGGAGCATTTTATTGTGGCATGGGAAACAGCAATTTGTTTTTAATGTCCAATGTTCTTGAAGGCCACTTAGATGAGTTTAGATTTCTACTTCCTCCTAAGACTAGAACAAGAAGATTTGGGACCTAAATCACAGTCAGATGACTTTAAGTTTGATATCATGAATTTCCTTTCCAGAATATAAGGGCTTAGGACACACTGAATAGAACTGAGTGGGTTTTCCGCATCTCCTTTTCTAGTAATTATGAATATTATAGACTTGTCTATAGGTAGGTGAATGAGCTAGAATGATGTCAGAGGTCATTTCCAGGTTGATGGTTTCTTTACCTTCTTTTTGATTCATACATGGCACTATTTGTGGTTATAATATAAGGGATATGGTAGGGAGGGTAGAAGGGAGAACAGGCAGAAAAAAAATACATATTGAAGCCTATGGATTATATTTATGCCTCATAACTTCAACTGCAAATCCATTCAAGTGTTGTTTATATAATAGTGATACTTACCTTTTAATAAGAAATTTATTTGATCCACCCAGTCTCTGGCTTCAGCTGGATTAGTAGCTGTAAACTAGAGAAAAATTAGCAAATTAATTTATCACCTTCACTAAAACTTCCATGAATCCTACAGGGAGGTTCCAGGGACAGAACTTATGGGTCAAGTTTCAGAGTCATGCTGAAAAGCTCAAGATTCTCTGGCTGCCTAATATTTTTTTAAAAAGACCAAAACATGGAAAGTGATTTTTCCCTTCAGCAATTTTGCATTCTCAATGTTGATAGCTATTTGAGTCCAGAATTCATGCCCATGTGCATTCATTCAATTATCCATTCATTCAGCAGGCATTTATTTGATGAAACTTTACAGAAAAAAAAAAGTAAACAAAAATTCCTGACCTCAAAGAATAATGCATCAATTATGGAGGCAACATACACACCTGAGATGGGAACACTATAAAACAGGTGCATTTGATAACAACTGAATGTTGAGAGACGACAGGGAGCACTTATTGTTGCCTAGAGGAAGCCAGGGAGGCTGGTTGAAGTAATAACTGCTCTGGTTGGATTTTAAAAAGAGTTGGTGGAAACTGGTGGAGGGAGCTGGGTAGTTTAGGTGGGGTGAACCACATGCAAAAGATTAGGAATGAGACCATCGTGTATAGGGAAGGTAGGCAGATAAGCTGGACTGGAGCACAACAATCAATGAAGCTGGAGAGCTGAGGGTCAGAAAAGAGTGGGTGAAACTAGGAGCTCAGACTTAAAACAGGCAATAGGAAGCCACTGTACATTCCAGCAAAGGAGTGCGAGTTTCAGTGCTGTGAACAGGAGGGACTGGAATAGAGAGAAATAGGAGACAGAAGACCCACGAGAAGGCTATTTAACTAATCCCCTGTGTAAAGCGATAAGGACTTAGCTATTGTGATGGCTGTGGGAATAGATAAGAAGGGAAAGATCCAAAGGATATTGTAGAGGAAGAATCCACAGACCATGATAATGACTTGGATTCAATGGGCCAAAGAAAAGAAGAAGTAAACAAACTCTACATTCTGATTCACAAAACAGGCCAGTTAGGCATCAACCTTTGGTAATTTTTTTTTTTAATTTTAAATGAATCATCTGGAAATGACTGTTCCTGAAGGACATTTTTATTATCTGGCCATTAGGACAAGATAAAGATCTGTGCTGTATAAGAAACCTATATTCCTGCTTAATACTTATTAATAGACATTATCATTCTTAATTTCTTAAAAACACATTTTCATGGAAAATGGATTGAGACTTGGCATATAAATTGCTATCCAGATGAGACACCATCAGAACTGAATAAAAAAATAATGTAGGCACATCCTCAGTGCATACATCTGTATTATATAGACCTATAAAGGACTTTATAGAAAAGTTGAGTTTAAATGAAAAAAATTGAAATTATATAATGAAGACCTAGGTCATTTAACAAAATAAGGGTTACGATATTGTAGGAACATAAAAGGATGAATGTTGAGAAAAAGTTGAAGCGTCAAAGGGTTACTTAAGTGGTTAATATTAACCTTAGCATGGCTTTTCCCTTTTTCAAAAGTTAGCTAAAGTTTTTCTAAATTGTTTTAGTAAAATTGTGATAAAATAAAAATTACTAACAAGCAGGAAACAATATGTATACACCCACACAAATACATTTTTGTTGAAAATCACTATATTCCCATAGTCAGAAATTTTTTATTGCTTAAATTAATTTGTAATAGGTAATAAATGCATTACATATATTATATTATATATTATATTATACTATACTATATTATAATATTATATCAAAACATATTGAAATGAACTCAGTGAGGAATAAGTTCTTTTTACCCCTAGCTAGGTCTATTCCCTCAGTTATCACTGCTACTACTAGTAATCATTGTCACCAATATCTTAAGAATCTTTCCAGAGATATGCAATGCATCTACACACACGAAGATTATTTTGGAAAGCAAGATGAATATGGGAAAATACATTATTTTTCACTCGACAGTCAGATTTTTCTTTTTCTGGATTTCATGGAAGGAAGGGAAGATAATCAGTTGAAAAATAAAGAGAATGGGAATTAAAATCATGAAGTGAGAGGCTCTGAATGAGGAATTAGGTTGTGTGCTGCAGTAGACAAGACTCTCACTTACAGAGTGAGACTGAGAAAGGGAGGGATGAAGAGACAGAAGCCAAGTAAAGGCAGTATCTAGGAGGAGAGTGGCAACAGAGGGGAGAAAGGAGGGCATGAAGGAGCAAAGGTGAGGACATGTCAAGAAAGAAGGTCTTGGTAGGAAATGAGAAGGTAACAAAGAAAGGCTGGAACCCAGCATAGTAACCACGGCTCACACGCAACAGTAATGAGGATCTCCATCCCCTCCGTTCATCCTACCTCATAGCTGCGCCTATCCTGGGCGGTCAGTTCAAAGCAGGATTCTTTCTTGGAATCTTTTCGCAGGTAGGGGGCCATCCGTACACTGTAGCCCTTAATGAGAAAGGTCCCTTTGGGCTGCTTGCCTGCAAGACAGGAAAGCTCCCTGTATCCCTAGAGAGACGCAACTGCCAAGGGAAGGCATCTTCTCTGGTATGTAAAATAAAACCACAGAAACAGCTGTTATATCCCTGAGGAACCACAATAGTCAAGGAAAGGTTATTAGGGAAGCTTAAGAAGCGGCTACTGCGACAGAAAGGCAGATATCACTGCCAAGCTAGGGAAATGCAACATGAAAGGTTATTGTGCCAAAAGAGTACAACAGAGACAGAGAATTTATTAGAATGTTAAGAGATCTATAATAACAGAGAGAAGGAATTATTACAGCAGGGAGAATGTGGCTGTAAACGTGAGGCTCTTGAAGGCTATTATAGAACTGAAACATTATTGTCAGAGCCCCCATTTGAGGGGAGGGACAGCAGCACAGGGGGCATTATAAGTTCGAGGATCTCCTCCTATGCCCTGTGTAGCATTTGGGTTAGACCGTTCTCCCCCTCCTGCTGCTCAGGTGGGAATTTACGCTGAAGGGAGAATAATTAAAACTCTTTTCTTCCAAGAGATCAAATTGGGAAGTAGCAGAGTACTGTTGAATATCATCAGTTGATGAGGAAGAAGATACAAGGCAAAGGACCCGCATGAAGGAAAGGAGAGAGTACTTTGTTACTTCCTTTAAAATACATATATATATATATATATATATATACACACACATAATTAGAAACAGGAAAAGAGGAGAGGGTTCCCAAGCGTTCTGTGTCCTCATGGTATGGTTCAGGGAGAACACACAGAAGTCAGGTACCACAGTACCTGTCTCAGTCATGCTTTGTGTCCTGTATCATGTGGAATGAATTGCATAATAAACGGTTTTCAATGATGACGATGAGAAGGATGGCAGTGGGATGACAATATTGAAAGGAAAGAAAAAGGCTCAGTCCTTACCTGGTTGAGCTAAAGGAAATACACGAACACTCTATGCTTACTAAGAAAATGTCTTGGGTACAATAAGAAGTAACTGGCGAGAAGGGAGCCATGCAACAGTGCTTTTTGACACCAGAATCTTTTTTGTTAAAGTATCTCTCCTTGTTCTAACCGGCCACTAAAATGTTTTGTTGTTTCTTTGGTCACTGGATTTTATTTCACCCTGACAGCAAAATGGTCAATAAAAGTCTCCTAGTCTCTCGCTCTTGTTCTCCCCCTCTCACCTTGAGTGTAAAGGATTCTGAGTGAACAAACATGATACCCGGTTTTCTATCCAGATGTGCCAAGCACTTATTTAAATGCAAGGGAAATGACGAACATTTTTTTACAAAGACATCAATGTTACATTAGTGTGAAGGTTTAAAATAAGAAAATAACACCTGGCTGGCTCGTATGCTTTGAACTCAGGGGAGAAATTGTGGTTGCTGGATTTGAGTGGGCTGGTGGTTGGGCAGTTTTTGAGTTATGCTGCTCTCATTTCCTAGGAGGGCTTCACACTGTACCCCTAGATGGGAAAGGCTCTGAGGAACCCAAGACGGTGAACCCAAGATGAAGGTCAGCGATACCTGCTGTAGGCAGAGAGGCAGGGTGAGGCCATTGCCTCAAAGCCGAAGGGCAAATCTTAAGGATTCCAAGTCACTTAGCAAAACTGCAGTTCTTTCTGCCGCCTTAGTGACGAAGGTGCAGGAAGTCCAAAGGCAACTGAGTAGATATCTAATTATCCCCTAGACTGGATATCTAGGCTTTGGGAAAGGAGTAAGTGTGGGAAAGAAAGAAGAGAGGAGAAACAGAAAGCAATTGGAAGGAAACGAAAGGATTTACTCTGGGTCATTGGCCTCTGTACCAAGGCCATAGGGCCCAAGAAAAGCCCCCACAAGAACTGATGCTTTATTTTACTTCATCTTCCTCTTGCTTCATAGAATTACTCTTGGGGCAGTGTGTCTCTGTAGGAGGGTATCTTCTATTAGAAAGTTTGCATTCACCTACAATGATAATTTTTAGCTTGTATGTATTTGTAGCTGCCTCCAATTTGTGCTTATATCTTCTGTTCCTTCTCACCAACTAAGCTACTGTGTTAAGCATGGATGGGAGCTCTTCTAGGGATAGCTCATGAGTGTTGTGCTTGATTGAGTCAGTGGTAGCTGATTAAGAAGCTGCCTCGGGCCTGAATCAACACTTTGCAGCTGCCGCCATCTGGCTGAAGGGTGTCTCTTGGGCACAGCAACCATTTGGGTCTCAACACTCCATGGCTCTAGGGATGTCCACTGGACTATTTTCCAAGAGTCAATAAAATAAAGAGAGTTTGGACTTAAGGGTTCTAATTCCGGGCCATTGATAAGCTGTTTAAATCTTTCTCAGAGTTTTGTTTTGTTTTGTTTTTTTCAATTTTTAACTATATTACTAATACCTATAAAGAGTTTGAGGTTCTTTTTTTTTTAAAAGAAGAATGCCAAAGTGTGCAGTGTTAATGCTATTAGTCATAATAAAAGACGAAACCCTTTGATAAGTTCACCACAATATCCTAATGTTTAAGGGGAAATAAATTCTAACTTGACATTTGAGCTTTTGGTGATAGACAAGGAATTATTTCCCCAAGCCTAGTTCTTTTCCAAGCAGGTCCCTTTATGGGCGTTAGTTAAGGATTGCTATCTTGAGATCTAAGTGCTTGAGAATTTACGAAGTGTTTGCATCCAGGAGTGAGATGCTGCTGTGCAAATGAAGAACACTTACTTTTCTCATTAGCATAGTAGTAGAAGAGGCCTCTGCTGACAGCACACCATCTCTTCTGCCACTCCGATCCGAAGAAACTATGATCTAAATGGAACAGCAGTAAGGGACATAAATTCAGGTAACTACAATCACTGAAGAGTCTGTAAAATCCAACAACACACAGTCCAGTGTGTTATTGTTTTATTTCCAGGGTTAATGGACTGTAAAACCCTCCCTTTGACTCCCACAGGTTATTCTATATTGACTCAAGGTCCCGGGGACTTGCTCAATTAAAGGTCCAAGTTCTAAACAGCGTTTGTCTGCTCTGACCCCTCACAGCTGTCTAGCTTCCTTTGTGTTTTTCAGGTTCTAATCTCATCCTGTATCTTTCAAATTCTCCATGATATCTTCATGTGTTGCCTTTTTGCAAACCAAAATGATGCTCTAGGCCATGGGCACGAGAAAGGCTTTCTTTGTGTTGAGCCAATTTGCCTGTTGATTGTTCAACCTGGGACTCTGGCCCTAGTAGTATATATTCTAATCAAATGAATGACAGGTTAAGATTTGGGCCCCTTTGAAACTTCAAAGGGGCTGCTTCACATATGACATAAATATTGTATTCTTGGCAACATAGTTTCAATTTTCATGGGAGCACACTGTGAGATGGCAACAAGAATATCATCCATCCATCATCATCCATCCATCCATTATCCATCCATCTATCCATCCATCCATTCATCCATCCATCCATCCATCTGTCCGTCCAAGTATTTATTGAGCATTTGTTGTGCACCAGGTGAGCAAGGCAGAACCAGTCCCTATTCTGATGAAGCTCACAATCTGCTGAAGATTTGGGGCCATCTCTCTTTAACCTACATACAAATACCGTCTTCTTTTCTTTTCTTGCCTTCCTTTTGCCTTCCACCTACCTAGGACAATATATAGGGCATAGAGAAGGCACCTGCTATGTTAGCCCTCTTTTTCATTTCCCTTCCTTTCCTGGAATGTCCTGAGATCTATGGGTCTGATCAATACCTTTACTTTTCTTCTCCAAGTATCCTTGCTTGATGATGTTATCAAGCTCTTGAGCTCCTCTTGTGATATCTTCTATTCCTAAAAGGAACAACAGCAAAATGCTTTATTGAAACCTGCCAGAATTTTCATTTAGGCTACTTTCGATAACCTGCATCCATGAAGCGGTACAGAAGGACAAAAGCTTAAACACAGCATAAAATAAAACAATTTCTAGATTATTGGAGGAAAAAAGTAAATTTTCTTTCTTCCTAATTATATCTAATTCTGAAATTGCTTTAAATTATCGAAACAATAAATATATTAAGTTTTGCAAGGGGAGGTAGCCTAAATATGTACTGATTGGCAAGAAAAGGACTCCAGAGAATTAAGAATTTGCTGTGGATATAAGCTCCAAATTGGATAATCCACATTGAGATAATCAAAAGTCAAATGAATAGCTACCAGCACGGACAAGCTTTAATGAGTGATAGAGTTTACCACGAACATAGTTACCTTAGAGGGAGCAATAAACACACACAATTTAAAAAAAAAAAACAAACACAAAGCCACCTTAGTGAACATAAATTTTATGAATATCATACAAAGAAGGGCTATGCAAGCTAGACTTGGCAATAACTGCCAAATCCTGGTTTTGTCCAAGTATGGGAAAGAGTCTCAGAATGGTAGAAGCCTTTACAAAGAGAAGCTCCTGGAACTGGCCCCGATCTTTAATTGCATGCTGCTAACATTCTTGGCTTTCAGTGAGCCTCCTTAGGTACAAATATTGAGAAGTCAACATCCTAATCCATCTTCCATCACTGGAGTTTATACTTATTTTACAGAAGGGAGGGGCAAAGGACAGAGACAAAGAGGAAGGAGTTTACTCCCCAAAAAGTAAAATGAGGGCCGGCCGAGTGGCGCATTGGTTAAGCGCTGGCTTGGGATGCCAGAGGGCCCCGGTTCGGATCCCACATATGAGGGCCACTGACACTGCCCTCTACAGCTAAGATGCTGCACAACAGCTTGACCTGGAGCTGGGCTGCCATGAGTTGCTGGCGATGGCAGAGGCTGCAGCCCCTGCTGCAGTGGGCTGCCATAAGCTACCGTGTGTGGCTGGCAGACAGCGTGAGCAGCTAGCTGGCAGCCGGTGTGAGCTGCTGAGAGCCGCTGTGAGCGGCCGTCCAGAGGCTGGCGACCGATCTGCCTCGCCCGGGAAGAGTGTAATGATAATACCAAAATGGGCCAGTGAAGCGACGTCCTCCACAACTAGACTGAAGAACAAAAGGACAGCAACTTGTCTGTTCCCCTTCCCCCGATTCCCCAGCGCCGTTCCCCTCCCCCAATTCCCCAATAAAATCTTAAAAAAAAAAAAAGTGATCCAGTTTGCAAAAGTGAATGGAAATCGTGCTGCTGAATGTAAGTTTGGTCCTCTTCCAACTGACTATGGTTAGGAGTTTTGACAGTGATGAGGAGTTGTATGAATTTTATGATGAATAAAACTTGAGTTCAATAATTTTATGTAATTTTCTTTTCAAATTTCGGGCCCCAAAATTAAGGTGCGTCTTATAAATGGGAGCATCTTATACATGGGGAAATATGGTAGTTTTTGTTTAAAATAACATTTTAAGACAATTTAAAATGCAACTAAAATTACCTTTTGCTTCTAAGTGAACAGTTCCAATCTTAGATTTATTTTATAACTTTTTTTTTTTAGCATTTATCATGTGATATTGTGTGGGCACTTTATCAAGCTTAATTTTAAACAGGTAGATCAGAAGAGAGACTCCTCTTTTTCTTTTTAGTGTGTCTAAGTGCCAGATTCCTTATGCTATGTATCCTTATTGTCAACTTCCTTGTTCATGGACTATTTTCATCTATGTTTCACAGTTAGCAAACTGCCTTCTATAAATCCTCCCAGATGTGTCTCAGGGTGCATGCATGAGATGAACAGCAGGAAAGGAAAGTTTGTTTGTCTAGGATCCTTTCATTTCTCCCATCTCTCTGAAAATTCTAATAACTCTGGAAATGCTCTCCAAAAAAACAGAAAAAAAAGAGCATCTTGGCGAGGATCAGTATAATTGACAAGGCCCCTTGAAGCAGGGTCCATCCTCTCGGCAGCGCCATCAAAAATTTGCTTGTGGAGGTTCCAAATTGAAATGAAAGACACAAGGATAAGAAAAACTGAAGGGTGAAAGGATAACTATTGCATTGTTCTGTATACCTGAAACTAGCAATAAAAAAAAAATAAAGTAAAAAAAACAACAACAAAACTGGATCCCCTAAGCTTGGAGTCTCCATTTCTCTCTCTCTCTCCTCCTTTTTCCTTTTTTTAAGGTCTTGTTAAACTTAAAAGACACAGCTACTTGTTAAAGATGCCCAGAGTCTGAATCATAAAAGACACGTTAAACGTTCTATTAGAATTCAAACCTCCTTTTTTTTAATGCAAATCTAAATGCCATTTTATGGAACATCTATAATTATGAAAATGGAAGACATTGCCTCGTGTGCGGGGAGAGTCTGTGAGTATGAATATTACATTAATGTGCCCACACCAGCTCACTGATCCTGCTGGCAGGAGCATAAAAAATGCTTGAGTGAAACTTTTATTTAGATGTTAAGACTCCAGGCCCCAGCGGGGTGACAGCGACAGTCCCCGTGAGTTGCTATCAGAGAGAGAGCTTGAATTGAATTACCCAGGGGGGAAGGAAGTAGTGATGAGCACTGCTTCGCTTATTTAATTTCATTTACTTTCAGTACATTATCAGCGTGAGTCTTTTCTTTCCCCACCAACCGAAACCCAAGAATGCCACCACCAAGAAAACAAAGACATACTGCAGCAGGGATGCTTGAGCTTCAAGTCACTAATTCCAGGCGACTGGGGACAGCACCACCACCAGCACCTTCTCTCCCTAATGTCACATGTGCTTTTCTAAAATTGGGCACAGAATGAGTTTCTGAATTTTCTCTTTTGGTCATTTACCAACAAGATTCTGAAGAGTAATAGAGCTGGAAATATGGTATTTTATATGCTGTGTTTTTATAAGATGTGTTATGGTTCTTTCTTGTTAGAGGGAACTCTCTTGCCCGGTTTTTCTTGTGGGCAGTGGGGGTAAAAATGGGATTATAGTTGAAGTTTAGAATGGCTATGGAAAAAAATCAGGAAATTAAATCACATCAATCTCTAGTCTGTTGTCACACTGTGTGGTGAGTACAATAAAGAATTGTTCCCAATGTAAAGTTGACTCTGAGCTCCATCTCATCAGCTCCATGGCCTATCAGATGAATCTAGACAACCAAGCTGGGAAGCCACTGTGGCAATCAAGCTATCTCCTCTTTCAGTATCAGCTCAGGGTCCTACTGATCAAGAGCTGGGGATCCTGGGGACGCACATATAAGCTACAGTCCTGGGGTGATGAGGCAGGAGGAGTCTTGTACGCCTGAATTCACATCTACTGGCAAGCACAGATCTGCAGAGTTACTTAACCCATAACAGAAAGTATGTAAATGCTTTGCAGGATGATCATAAAAATAGGAAGAAGCCACACACAATGGCTATTTTAAGGCAAAAACATTTATATTTAAGTATACAATTTTTTTTTAAAAATTGAGTCTTTTGGTCCATTACCTGAAAAAAGATATCGCCACCTTAATGAAAAAAATAGAAATTACTTAGGTTTATTGGGGACAAATGGTCTTCTTGGATAAACCTAAGTGTGTAATGCATTCATTATATCAACACAAAACAGAATTACAGCAGTGTCATCTCTCTCTCTACCCTTACACTTAACTAAATCTCTCCGAATAGCCTATATAAAGAAGAGTCTCTTAGCTGAAGGATGTGGGGCCATAAAGATAAGATCAACAGAGAAGTGTGTTACCCAGAAATGATGGCCACCCAACTTCCATGGCAGATGAAGATAAAAGAAATTCTCAGACATCCTTCTCTCCTCCTCCAGATTCCTTTAAACCCTGTGTCCCACCCATGCCCAACTCTGCAATAAAAGATGACAGAGTAGGATTCCATCTCTCAGTGCTAAACACGACTCCTCAGTCGGCTTCGCACAGCAACAACAATGGGGACCCTCTGGAGTGTGATACGCTTCCATAAAGCAGTCAATAAAAAAGACACGGGAGCTTATGTGAGTCACGGCCTATTTAATCAGCTGCGTTCTAGCCCACTGAGAAAAGAGAATTGGAGAAATCGGTTGGCAACACCGCAGCACCAGGCTAATAGCACAGGAGTCCACACAAGTTCCACTGTGAAAGGCTGCAGCCCCTGCAGAACAAACCAGGTGCCTGCGAACTTTCATTAGAGGCAGTTGGCTTGGTCTCTTGCTAACCCAACCTGAAATGAAAATCAGTAATAAAAACCAAAACCAAAACCCAACCATCTTTTGTTCAAGTCTTTTCCCCCTTAAATGGTGGACTTCTCCCATCCTCTCGTTTCCTTTTAATTCAAGTTCTTTTTAATTGTTTGAAAAAGGGACCAAACCAACTCCACCCCTGACAGCTACCAGGGGTGAATTTCAGGCAGGGTGAACTTGATCAGGTTCCTTCATTAAAGTCCTTGTGATAAAGGACCCAGGGAGCTGGGTGGATGAGGTTGGAGAAAATCTAATAGTTGAAGGCTGGGAATGGTCAAGTTCCATCTGCAATTTCAATTCACTCACAGATTGCTGGTCTGTGTGTGCCCTGCGGACAAGGGACAAATACACACTTCATAATGTTTCAAATGTACAAAAAGAGAGGGGAGAGACTATTGCAGGTGGGGTGGGTGGATAGTATTCTCCTGTCTGGTGGTTGCTGATCCCACATCTGTTCATTAAACCCTCTCCTCTGTATTTGATTTCTGTGGCTTTTTAAAATAAGTTCCTTAGCTTCTTGCATTTCTGGGTTATTTTTTGCTTTTTCCCCTCAGTTTTCAGGAACCAGTCAATAAATGACAGTTGGTTTGAGGTGTCTGGGAAACAGTGTTCATTTTCTGAACAGGGAAGTTGGTTTCAATGACTCTTTCTTTATTAGTCTGTTGGGACAGGCTTATGTAATTCTTTAACTTCCATGGTTCCATTTGATATCCACCAGAGCTTACATTGATTCCT